GGGGCCGCGGGTTTGCTCCAGCCCGGGCGGGAACCGAGAGGAGGTGCCCCCGCCGCCCCCGCCCCGCGCGCGACTCCAGGCCTCGGCGGGGTGGGGGGATGGGGGAGCCGGCGCCTCGGCGCGCGCTAGATAAGGACCTGCTCCTCGGGGAGAAGCCCTCCCCGAACCCACCAGAACCTACCCCTAGTCAGAGCACTGAAAATAGGAAGGCCAACCGTTGGGATGGTGGGATTATGGGCCCCCACGGTGGCAGGGCGCGCGGGGGGAGGGGTGATTTCGGGGTTGTACCTCAGCAAGATGGTGGCAGGGAGGATGGGGCTCCCCAGCAGGAGCAAAGAAATGGATTCCCCTCCCCCTTTCCTACAGAACAAGGGCATGGATCCTGTCTTGGGCCCCCTGCCCACTGGGGGAAGGCCTCATTCCATTCTCCATCAGAAGACAAGGAGGGAGAAGCTGCCTGGCCTTGGGGTGCAGTCAGATCAGTCATCCAACGCCTTAAAATGAAAATTGGTTCCTGTTGCTTCCTGGGCCCCCATTTAAGCTCTCCTCCAAAAGTCCTTTGCTTCCTTCTTTCCAGTTGCTAAGCTCCCACCTTTACCACCCCTCCAAACAAACCAGCTGGGGCAGAAGGCAGGTGCTTCCTCCTCCTCCCCACCCCCGACTGACCCCGCTGATCGGTCAGCTTCAGGCCCAGGACCCACCTCCCAGAGCCCGCTCCCCATGCCACCACCCCTAGGCTACAGGGACCCGGGCTCACTGAGCCATCGGAGCCACCACCTCTTCCTGCCCCCCTCCTCCTCCACCTTCCCCCAGCCAGCCCGTCCTGACCACCTAGGCCCCCCTCCATGGCCTGTCCCAGCCTAGGATGACCCCGGTCTCTTCCCTTCCTTCCGCGGAAAGAGGGCCGGCGCTAAGGGGGCTGGAGGGGGCCTCGGAATAGGAAGGGCAAGAAGGGGCAGCTCTGGGGAGGAGCTCCAGGAGGGAGGGGAGGATCTGCAGCCTCCCTGCCAGACACCCCACCCACAGGAGGAGATGGCGCTGTAGCCCGGGATTCACTTCCCCTCCCCCGCCGCGTCAGTTGCGTGCCCGCGATTTCTCCATCTGACATCCCCCCTACCAGGCCAGCCGGCGCCGACACCGCGTCTGCAAGTTGTTGTAAGTCCGGCAGGAATGCCCGGGGGAGGTGCCTCTGGCCAGCAGAGTGCCCACTCGCTCCCAGGATGCGCAGGCCACTCCCGCGTCCCCCCCCCTCCCACGCAGCAGAAGAAGAGCGGTGGGTCCTTCGGAGACACGGGGGAGCGCCTGAGGCGGGCCTCGCCTTGGGGAGGGTGCCAGCCGGCCTCCTCCACTCCAAGAGCCAGCCAAGTATGTGAGGGAGCGAACGTGTGCAGGAGAGCGGGAGGGACCATCATTTCCAGCTCTTCTGCAAGACGGCGCAGTGGCCCAGGACGCTCGGGGGACCCTCCCCAGGATGCCCGTGACCAACCTCCAACCGCTCAACGCTCACCAGCCCCACAGGCACAAGCCTCGGAACTGCAAACTTTCCAACTTCACCCCCTGCTCTTTCCTACCCCTTTGGGACCAGAGATGTGTGGGGCGGTGCCCTCAGAGACACTCATACAGTTGGTTCTTGACGCTCGGCGCACACTGAACAACAGCGGGGCCAGGGAACTCCCGGCTTTTTCCACAGCTAATTACAGACGTGAAAGTCTGAGGATGTTTTGCAAGCGGCAGAGAAACTGCTGAGGTTTCTCTACAAAGCTAAAGAAATTTAATTTGTGCACTCCCCTTCCCCAGCCCCCAACTTCTCCGACGTCCGCCGCCCCCGCCCCCCCCCAGTGAGCCCCTCTCCCAGCCCCTCATTGCAGCCCCTCCCTCCTGTTGAAAATTTCTTACTCGGTCTTTTTTTTTTTTTCCCATCTCTCTTAGAGGCTTTGGAGAAAGGGAACAGACGCGGAAAATATTTTTGCAACAGTTTTCCATTCTGCGTCTCATTCCCAAGCCAAGGGGGAGGGCAGGAACGGATGGGGGGAAATAAATGCTTTTTCCAAAAGCTCAGTTTGGGTGTGAAAAAGACGGTGCCTCCATTTCCCTAGCCCCGTGGCCCAGGAATGACAAAAACTAGGAAAAGAGAAAGAAATCACTTGTTTGATTATTCGGTCTCTCAGAACGGAATCTAGGAAATACGGTGTTTGACAAATCTGTGCGCACACACACAGAGACGCTCACAGACACACACACTCCAAACCCAGTCGCAAGAAACATGCTAGGCAGAGGAAATTCAGGGAGCTTTAGAAGCCATTGAGAGCAAAGAAAGAAACAAAGTTTGCAAATCGCGAGTCAATTCATTTTCTGCAAGCCTACCTCTCTTTCTAGCAAAGATCCAGGCTTCTCCAAGCGGGACTCTCCCTCCGGGTTTCCATGGACGGGGTAGGGTGGGGGTGAGCACCCACCGGTCTCCCCAGTGTGGCAACCACGCTAGAGATGCTGCCTCTGCCCTCTCGCCTTTCCAGCTACGGCCAGGGAGTGGGCTGGGTCTCCTCCCCCGGCCCTCCCAAAGGGAAGGACCTCTCAGGTTCCTGGAAGAAAATGGGTGCAGGGGAGCTGGACGGGTGTCTCTGGCCTTGCTCTCCTCGTAGGGATGGTTCCCCAGGAAGTTCGTGCTCCCCCCCTCAACCCCCAGCTTTGGACGGTCTCAACAGCAGAGCTTTCTTAAGAAAATGCTTGTCATGGCAACAGCTCCAGCTAACTCGGGCCAGACTCTTGCTCACCAGCTCTCCGGGAGCAGTGAGGGAGGAGAAGGGGGAGGAGCGAGAGCTGGAGCGGAGGTGGGGCTTGGCTGGAGGCCAGACAATTACTCTACTGTTAAGGTGGCCCGGTTTCGAGCTGCAGCGGCTTCCTGGTTCGTCTTAAGGGGGAATGGAAAAATGGAGGGGAGGAATCCTCTCTTCTCTCTGGTTTCCTCCCCTCCCTTGCTGTCACATGTGGGAAGGAAAGTAGGGTGGGGGGTGGAGGTGGGGAGTGGATGTGGGTGGCGGTATTCAACCGTTGCTGGGTGGAGGGAAAAAAGGAAGCTTCTGCTGGCTGTTGGCTTCCTGCAGCTCCTAAGGGCCTCTCAACCTCTTACTCACTTAGACCCAGGACCCAGAAACCCAAGGTGTCTGTGGCACCTTGTGCCACCGGCCCCCACCCTCCTGCCCCTGTCTGAATAGGGGGCTCCCTGGAGGAGAAGGAATTGCTTTGGATGCACCCAAGTACACAGCTTTGCTTACACACAAATCTTAGTACACACCTCCTCACCCAGACTTTACACACACAATCCTAGGTCATATTTTGCTCCCTCTTGCCTCTGTACCTACCAGGGGCTCATCCACACTGCATGATAATAGCTGCTTTCTTATGAGCCTAATATGTGTGGGCTAAAGCAGAAAAGCTTTGCTTGTATATGTGGTCTCATTTCCACTTCTCATGGCAATCTTGGCAGGTACTTATTATTATCCTCATCTCAGAGTTGAGGAAATTGAGGATCAGGGGCTGGTGCAAGGTTATACACCCGGCTAATGACAGAGCCAGGATGTAAAGCCAATCAGACCGACTCCAAAGTCCATGGATTTTCCTGTGCTTGTGTCCTACTCCAACACACATTTCCATTTTCATGCCCTCACTCAGGCATCTGTGTGCACTTATACACAGCCTATAAATTGTTAATCACACCTCCACAGCCACACTCCCACCAGCATTGGGCAAGAGTACCACCCATAGCTTTTGCCTGGATTTTGATTGTGGCTTTCAAGTACAAACATGCACCATCGACTGATTCACACAACAAATCTACATTGACTGATATATTCCCACACCTACCTCAGCACACCGATGGCTCATTCATATTCATATGCTTCTGGAAGGCATGTTAACCTACACAGGTTAAGGTTGTCAACTGTGCAGTGAAGAAGGTGACCTCCCAGAACTTCAGGGTTTGGGAAGAGGCTTCTTAGATCCTTCCAGCCTAACCCAGCCCTTCACACCATCCCTGTCCTGCTTTGCATCCTGTCCTCCCTGCCCCAGGACGGAGAACCATAGGCACATGGGGAAACAGACTTGTGAATTGGACTTCTAGAGTCTACTTTCCTTCTGCCCCTTAGCATCCTCTCCAACTGCCTAACATTTGGGTCCTTTTCTCCTCTCTTTATTTTCCTATCCCACTGTTTCTCGGGAAATCATCTGCATCCTATTTGTAACCTCGGGGAAAGTTAAACAGATAAAAGGAAGGAAACTTTTTTAGATTTGTTACACTGGGCTCAGAACTTAGAGCTCCCCCAAGGTGGTGCTGAAGACTGCCTGCCGCCATCCATCTTGGGAGCCAGGTCCAAAATAAACCTCTCCTGTCCTGTGCCTCCTTTCTCCTGCCCAGCTGGTGGAAGCTTGCAGGGGTGTGGGGGGATTTTAGGGTCACCTTCTACGGAAACCATCCATGGGCTTCTTTTCCAAGTTTCACCCTCCTTGGCGCTTAGAAGACACCAAGGGTGAGATTTGTTCTCATTCACTCCCTGCTCCCCCCAACTTCTTTGGTCCCTCCCACCCCACTCCCCAGGGCATTTCCTTGGAAGACCTGCTGGCAAGGATAGGGACCATACCTTGTTAGAGTTTGGAAAGTCCTGCCAAAATGTCAGCTTCAGGAGCCGAGATGGGTTGTTGGGGAAGACATGGGAATGGAAGGAAAGGAATCCGCTGAACAGAGCTTCAGATTTAATGGCTTGTCAGGCTCCCTGCTGGATTGCAATAACTTGACATTTTGGAGCCCAATGAGTGTCAGCTGCGTCTTCATCATGAGAAAGCCGGTCTCCAGAATGGTGCCTTAAAGGTATTAAAGTATCTTTTAAGCTCTGTCTGCAGTGGCTGTGCGTGGAAGCGTTGCCCAACTGTTCAGTAAACTTGTCTTGGGGGAGTAACAATTTAGGCCAGATGTGTGGTTCCATTAAAGGAGAAGTCTACTTCGGCTGCCTGGCATGTGGGGGCTGAGACATGATGCCAGTTCCCAGCTGGTGAGTATGTGAAAGGCAAGATCCTCTCTTCAAACTCCCTGGGTTCCAGGGAGACCGGCTCTGTGGGGGAGGTGCTGCCCAGGAGGCTCTGATGTGAGTCCCACCTCTGGCTGGCTGGGATTCCTGGGCAGGCCAGGAATATGGCTTCCATGGTAGCCATCAGGTAGGTCCTCCCTTCTCTCAGAGCCCAGGGCTCCCCCTGCCCAGGCGGGGGTGGTGGGATGAGAGAAGAGGAACCCTCCACCCCATTCCAGCCCTCAGCCCTTGTGGAGGCAGGAGGGAAGGATGTGAGACATGGGTCAAGGTGACTTTAGGGGCCTTTAGCCGCAGCCTTATCTCTACACCTGAGCCAGCCACCGAAACCTGTGTTTTCTGGAAACCCAGAAACCTCGGTGCCTTGTTTCTTCCAGCAGCAGGCTTGAGGTCTTGGGTGTGGGGAGGACCCACATAGGTGTTTAACAGAATATGCTCCTCCGGCCTCTTGGGAGCTCCCTCTTGAGTTCCCCAGATCACACTTGCTGATTCTCCTTACCGCCTTTGAGTGCAAACTGCATCTCTCCCTCCTGGGGGTATCTGCTATTTTACCTGTCCAGAACAGCAACCATCCTCCCCACACCCACACCCACTTCTTTAAGACAATCTTTCTCCTCACTGTTAACATGGGAACTGTCAGTTTATTAGAGGTCCCACCCCTACTTGGCCTAAACTGAGCCAATTACATCCTTTCCTGGAATTTTTGAACTTAGGACCACAGAAAGAACAAGTGTTGCTTATCTCCAGCAGTGGACACTGTGAAGAGTGAGGCTCTGGAATTATCAGCGGCCATGTTTCCTGCGCATGGAAGAAAGCTGACGGTGGGAAAGAGGAAAGCTTTCGTGGGGAGAGAGGCTGAGAGGAGAGATGAAGAGTGAGTCCCTGGCAACATTTGAGTCAACTGTACCTCATATCCTACTGTGCCCTTGCTGTTCCTACAAATGAGTTGGTTACATGACTCATTATGCATGTATAAGCTACACTAAATTGGGCTTTTTGGTCCCTTGTACAAGGTAATATAGAAAGTAATATAGAAACCCTTCGAGCTGGTACCTACCATTTAGGTACACTCATTTCAGTGAATTTTATTCATTCATTTTATTCATTACTGGATACCTACTATTCAATTCACGATGCATTTCTTGAATGTCTACTGCTTCGACATCCACTGGGCCCAGACAAGATGTACAGAGATAATAAAGCTTATAGTTTAGTGGAGGAAAAAGATAAATTCATAGCACAAGTAACCACAATAGAAGGTGTTATAATTATTCTTTGAAACATATTTACTGAGTGCTTACTATGTGCTAGGTAGTGCATGTTAAAAGGTGAAGTATGAAAATACAGTAGTCCCCCCCCCTTTTTTTTTTAAAGATTTTATTTATTTGACACAGAGAGAAAGAGAACACAAGCAGGGGGAGTGGGAGAGGGAGAAGCAGGCTTCCCGCAGGGCAGGGGGCCCAATGTGGGGCTCCATCCCGGGACCCTGGGATCATGACCTGAGCTGAAGGCAGACGCCTAACCAACTGAGCCACCCAGGCGCCCCACAGTAGTCCCCCACCCCCTCGGCCCACTTATCCCTCAGGGAATACATTCTAAGCCCCCCAATGGACACCTGAAACCTTGGATAGTACTGAGTAGTTATGTTTTTTCCTATGTGCACCTACCTACCTACATACCTATGATAAGTTTAATTTGTAAATTAGGCACAGTAAGAGATTAGCAGCAACCTCTTAGGCACAGTAAGAGATTAGCAGCAATAACTACCATACTCCAGGGAACGGCTACTTCCGACAGGAATGTTAGAAGGCTCTAGAAAGGAGATGGTATTTGGAGGTACCTGAAAAACCTGGAAGAGCAAGCTTTAATCTGTTTTGGAGGGGTGAGTGGGGTGGAGCCATGAGGGTAATGGCATGAGCAAAGGTACAGAGGTAAGAAGGATGGAGGGAAGCCTGGGGGGCTGGACTACCGAGGGCACTGAGTGGCCCCCCAGGTCTGTGTCGAGCAAGCTCGCTGTGGCAGTGGTGTGGAAGGTAGATTGGAAACCTAGGTGGCAGGCAGGGATGATCCGTGCCCAGTGCGATGCTCGGCGGTTTCATATAGTTGTATAAAACACAGTCCTTGTCTTCTAGAAGCCTCCCATCTAGTTGTGGAGACACATGAAATAGATAACAACAGGGGTGAGTCGGTTGAGTGTCTGACTCTTGGTTTTGGCTTGGGTTGTGATCTTGGGTTCTTGGGATGGAGCCCTGTGACAAGCTAAGCAAGGAGCCTGCTTCCATTTCTTGCTCCCTCTCCCTCTGCCCCTCCCCCTCGCACAGACACACTCTCTTTCTCTCAAATAAAAAACAAAAATAAATCTAAAGAAAAAGAGGTAACGAAACAGTGTGTGATCATGTCTAAAAGGATCTAGATGAAAAATCCAAAGACAGCTTAGTGAAGGGGAAGCTGAAGATGGGCTGGAGCTTTTGGGGGATGGCTTCTTCCAGTTGGTGGGGCTCCAGCTGGACTTTGAAATTCTTCCCAGTGTCTCTCTTCCCACTCCCCTGCAGAGGAGTCCGGTGGTGGCTGAAGGCAAGCTATTTATCTGAGCAACATCTGCCCTCATGCCTCTAGTCCTTGTCATACATAACCCTGGGCAAGGGGAGGAAACCGGATCCAGGAAGACAGAGCTGGGGAAACGGACATAGCCACAGGTTG